CCAAAACAGACCTAGAATGCGAGGTTTGGTTTTAACAGATTCCTGGAGATTAAAATTGACATGACGAACCGCACACACTTAGAGTGTAAAATTGGATTCGTTTTCACGTAGTCATACATCTGTGAAACGGTATCCAAAATCGTGATAATAACCATATCCAATTCCCCTAAAAGTGTCCTCCTGCTTTTTTTGCAATCCATGCCTATCCCCATTCCTACCCACCTATTCTCGGGCAATCACGATCGATATCATTCCTTTTCATTGCCAAGAGCTATACTATTTACAGGTACACCATAGTTTGTTAATCTACTCATCTGTGGATGAACGATCTGTGGGTTGTTCCACTTTCTTTTTACTATTACAAATAAAGCTTCTGTGACCATTTGTGTATCTATGTCTTAATATAAACATACATTTTTCTTTCTCTTAAGTAAATACCTAGGAGTGAAATGGCTGGGTAATACGGTAGGTGTACAAGTATATTTAACTTTTGAAGAAGCTTCCAGTTTTCCAAAGTGGTTGTGCCGTTTTACATTCATAACAGTAGCCTATGAGAGTTCCAGTTCTTCCTCTTCCTCACCAACGCGTCGTATGGTTAGTCTTTAATAGTTTAGCCACTTTAATAGTTACGTGTTCTATCTCATTGTGACTTTAATTTGTATTTCCCTCATGACTAATGATGTTGAGAATCTGTTCATGTGCTTGCTTTTTGCCATCCATATATGTTCTTTGGGGAAGCCTCTGTTCAGATTGTTTGCCCATTTTTAAATTGAATTGCTTGTTTTCTATTACTGAGTTTGAATGCACAGCTCTACTGTTCCTAAGTCCATACATAATTAAACATGTATCTCCAGTAAACCTTTCCTGGATGGACACAGGCAAGAAAATGGTAACACTGCCTCTAAGAAGGAGGAACTGGGGAGGAGAGAACAGGAATTAAGGGAAAACTTATTTTCACTTTATACCTTTTTTTAACTTTTGGATTTTGTAACATTTATAACTCGTTTGAAAATAAACATCCGTAAAAGTGAAAACGAAAGTTTGTCAATATGGAAATTAAATGTAGTGTTCTTTTTTTTCCTTCTACATGCTATTGTATAAAGTTTGTTTATAGAGCTAGAGATGAAAATTTGCAAGATCACAATACCAGATGCAACAGATTTTGAGCATGTAATATCTATTGACATTTTATTTACAAATGTAGTCTCCAAAAAAAAAAAGAGGTAAAATGCAATTGTATGAATAGCTTTTATGAGTCTTGAAGGAGATAAGATTTTGATAAGCAAAAACACCAGGGGCAATATTTCTATATAGATAAAGACATGGAAGCAAGTCATGCTGAGGGGATGATAAGAATGAGCGATGTCAGAAGCCTTGAAAGGTGGGGAAAGCAGACTGTATTTACTGTGGAAGACAATGGGAAACCATTGATTGGAAATCTTTTGGAAGATGGCTTTTCAGTAATATATCAGTTGGGTGAGAGTAGGTAACATGGGGATTGGAATACCAGTTGGGAGACTATTGCAAATCTAAGGCAGTAGTAAAAAGGCCTAAATTTGGTTTCTGGCAGTATAAACGAAGAGGAAGGAATAAGTGTGGAAGACACTGAAAAGACAAAATAAAGAGAAATTCATCCTGAGAAAGACCAGTGGGACCATAAAGCACAACAGAGAAGACAGAGGGTAGAGTAGGTTTTTAAAGAAAAGATAATTCCATTCTATAGAGGGGCAGTCTGAAATAGCAGGGGGAGAGCCAGGTGGTGATTTGCAGATTTTGGGGGCCAATTTACACATTTATTAAATTCATAACTTATCTTATAATTTTGTTGCCAAGAGAATATTAAGCCAATAAGCTTCCAATCAATAAGCTTTCTAGTGATTTATGTGCGAGATTCTGATTTATAATACCTAGTGGATTTATGACAAAATGCAGTATCATAATTGATGAGAGAAATGAAGAGTTAACAGGAGCGGGCCCCTGAGCTGGCAGGATGGGACAGGCCAAGAGTTAACAGGAGCCAGCTAGTAAGCTAACAGGAACAAGCCTAAACATTAAACGCTTGGCTCTGACTCCCCTGGCTAGCACTGCACCTGCAGCCTGACAAGCACCTTACATCCATCATAGGTGACAACACAACAGTTCCCAATCACAACAACAACCCCTGCAAGTTGACACCCATCATAGATGGGAACAGGACAGTTCCCAGAAAACAATTGTAATGGCAGCTCCCACTGGAAGCTGACAAGCACCCTACATCCTGCATGGAAAAATATAAAACCCCAGCACGCCTTCTCATTGGCACAGCTGTCTTCAGACTCTGCCCTGGCAAAACTTCTGCCAGAACTCTCTCTCTCTCTCTCTCTCTCTCTCTCTCTCTCTCTCTCTCACAATTTTGTCTTATGACCAAGGGTTAATTCTACACTAAGACAATAATATCTTTCTCTCAGTTCTCTCTCCCTCTCACTTTCTCTGTTCTTTTCATATCACTTCTCTTAGCCAAGTTTTTAACTGATGGGTTTGGACATTCTAAAATTATGTGTATTTTATGGTTTTTCCTTTATTTTACAAGCCTTCTATAATGTGTTTTGTAAGTAAGGAAGGGAGAAAGCAAAGGAAGGAGGTAATCAAGAAAGAAGCGTTTAAAAATCCAAGATTGTCAAAAGTGTGAAATGCTTCAAAGAAAGCTAAAAGGACAAGAACTTCAAAAAGTCCATGGGTTTGGCAATTAGGAGACCATTGGTGACATTAGTTGGGATTTTTTGTTGTTGTTGTAAGAAAAAGAAAATTTAATCCAAACTGGCTTTAAAATAAAGGCAATCTGTACTATACATACATTGAAAGTCTAAAGATAAGTTAGGCTTCCGGCAGTTTGATCAGGCTTCCAGCTCCATTTCTCAATGATTCTTTTGCTCTTCCTGCCTTCCCACCCGACCCTGCTCTGCATGTTGACTTCAGCAACACATTAGCATTTGCCATGGTATCAAATTGGAGCAAGTTCCTCTACACTTACTTATCCATCAATCATTGAAATAAGTACAAGGTTTCACTCGGATCAGATCAACTTAGGTCAGTGCTCACTCTTGAGCCAATTACCCTGGCTGAGGTCAAGTTATGAGTTGACTGGCTTAGAATTGGGTTACCCATCCCGGAATGGCCATTATGGAATGGGAGATATCAATATTCTGATAGACTTAGACGGATCACGATTCAGTGCTGTAGCTGCAATGAACCCACACTACCTGGCCGATACATAGTGAAGGTGAGATGTAGTTGCAACCCACAATGCCCACTACGGTGATTATTGATACAGCAGCTCCCAGGAAGTGGTGAGGAAAGCACCAGGTAAAAAAGGGCTAAGAAGTTAGAGATTGAGGAGGCAATGGAGCAAGTAGGTGTAAAATACGTTTTCAACAACTCTGACCATAAAAAGGCAGACAGCAAAACATAACAGTAACCAGAACAACAGATACAATTATTTGTCCCAATGCTCTTTTTAAGACAGATGCAGTGGAAATCATTGATGCCCATCAAATCTCCCCTCCCAACCTCCACTTTTCCCCAAACGCAACTTCAAATTTGACCAGTATCTCTATCATCTTCAGGCAACCCTGTAACGAAAGGAAGCTGAGCCTCAGCACCAGTTCCGGTGAACGCTATCTCACTTGTAAGTGGTTGGTTCAGGAATGTGGCAATTCTGACAGGTGAGAGAAGTAAGGTTTGCATTAGGCCTCTGGGGAAGTTGTTCCTTGCTCTTTTGAGTTTCTGGATCTCTCTCACTCCCTGTCCCACACTACCCTCATGTGGTCCTAATGGCAAACAAAGCATCCAAGAGCCACAAGGAAATACCACTGGTCAAGTGACAATGAATAGTTATGAAGAAAAAGCAGTGGGAGCACAGTGGACAGTGTGGGTAAAATCAGGCTTCCAGAGGAAGCAGTATTTAAGCTCAAACGTCAGAGAATGAAGTTTGCTAATGTAGATGCAAAAATATTACACATTTCGTATTCCATTTAAGAATACCATTGTTCCACTTTTCTTCCAAGTTTTTCTTTTAGTGCTAATAGAATTCCAGAAGTTAGCCCTGAAATTCTAAGCCCTTCTAACTGGCAATAGGAGAAATCTCAACAAGATAGGAATTCAATGTTCTCTTTCCCTGCAGCTTCCAAAAAGCAGATATTGTGCATCATAAAACAGTCTTTGCAAATGTTGCTTCTAACAAAGGATTCTTGTAAGCACCCAGACTTCAAAGACTGTTGCTATGTCCTCAAAATGTCTGCATTCTAATTGGTTATCTTACATAACAAGTAAGTTGAAATCTGTCTTCGACAAGTCAGTTTTGAACACTTCAGTTTTCTCTCATCATCATGGAAGAAAAGTGAATAAAATCTGGCTCAACTAAATTTCTTCTTTGAAGAGTGTTAGAGAGTCTGTATCTTAATTTAACACTAAGTAGACAAGATGGAGGCAAGAAGAATAAGGATACTGTGCATTGGAGGAACTAATTCTGCATTTGTTTAGTACAAATCTGGAGAGGAAGGCCAAAGAGGATAAATGGGTAAGCAGGTAGACCATGTGACATGCAATGGAGTTAATATATCCTTTTGTAGGTGATAAGAAGCTATCAAAGAAATGTAACATAAACAAAAAAGTAAATGATTAGATATCCATGTTAGGAAGTTCAATGTAGAAGGTGGACTGGAGTGGGCCCAGGAAGGTGTTTGGTAATCAGTACTTTGATACGGTATTATGTGATTTTCCCTTAAAAAAAAAAAGTCAAAACTATATGTAATTTGAAACTTTATTTTAAAAATATTCTGAAATTTGAATTTTTCAATAATTTTAACCACCATCCACTTTTCGTCTACGTTAGTACAAAACAATAAACAATAATTCCACTAACTCAGGCAATCAAATGACTTTAGTAAACATATAGCCTGGAATCACCCAAACAAAAAACTCACTTAATTCTCTTTAAAGATTTATAAAGTTTATTTTTTCAGAAAACCAAAGTAATTGATTCAACAACACTAACAGTTCTGGCATGCAGCAAATCATCAATTAACATCTAATGTTTAATCATATCATAGATGTATACAGTTTATTTTCATTCCTATAAAGTTTCCACAAGAAGCTTGCAGTGATAGTAAAGGTAAATAAGTAATTTGTTAAAGGTACTTCAAATAGCACTACAGTACATCTTTGACAAAATTTTTACAATATCCCAACTTTCAATATGAAACAGCTTAAACAGGCATGGGCCAAAAAAAGTATAGTATTACTTAGGCAAATAAAGTCCAATAATCATCCAGGCACAAAGCTGTTAAGGTCTCTCCCTATTTGGGTTGGGAAAGGAGTGTATGAGACATTTACATCAAATAAAATTATATTAGTGTAGGAAAATCCCCAAATACATAATTTCAGATATAGATATATCATTGAAATATATTAAGAAAATTGAACCTTTATTCTCAGGAAATATGAACTAGTTATCACTTGCTTTAATGTAATAGATGTGTTCTTGAAAAGTTTTCTCTAAATTCTTTAAACCATCATCTTGCTTGCACTGGAGGAAGATATCGCAACGAAACTTAAGCGAACTTATTCTTTAAAATATGATTCTCCTGCACATTTGTGTATCATTGGCATTTTTATCTTTACTGTTGTTTCAGCTCATGAAACCCAAGTTCCTCAAAATTCATTTGTAAAAGCAGCAAGCAGACCAACCTCTCCTCCCCCGCAATACACACAGTTCTTACAGTACAATGCAAAACTTAACAATTGTTCATTTACCCATTATCAATAGAGAGCTTGTCACTAGATAGGTGACAAATACCCACCTAGGAAAATAACTATTTGTTCTTTTCACTTTAGAAAGATAATGGCTATTTTATTTCTAGGGAATGTTATTCTTAAAGATTTCATTAAAAATATGGACAATTTGTAATTATAACTCTTTTATAGATTAAATTATTTCCCAAATCATGACAGTCCTGTTTAGAAGAATGACACCTTTAATTCTATAAGCATCTTATTCCTATACAGGAACCTTACTAATTAAAATAAAAATTTACTAAGGACCCAATAACATTCTTTAGCATCAGAATCTTGAAAAAAAAAACCATAGAGGAATAAAATACAGAACCAGACTTAGTCATTGCGTTTTGATCAAACTTAACAAAATAGATTTAGTTAAGTCATAGGACCACTCAAATCAGCATTAAAAGAAAGGTTTATTAAAGTAAATGTAAAAATCTCATGGAGATGCAAATCTATAGGAGAGTCTTAAGTCTATAACTACTGCCATCAATCATTAATAAGCAAATAGACAAATTGCATTTATTCCTCTGAAAAGATAACACTGCATACATATCATCAAAAAGATTATGGCACTTGGACAATATTCCTGATAAGTAAACAAGGTAAATGTACGGAGGTGCATCCTAGCCTCTCTCCTACTTTTAAGTTCTTTTGGGAAAGACAATAGTCGATTGGGCAAAAAACTGATTCTAATCACCTGTGATAAAGGTGAAGCTACCACAGAATCCTAAGGATATTTATTCTTAGGATTGGAAAAGACCAATGAAAACAATGCTATGATTTTCTTATCCATTTTCACCTTTACTGCCTTTATATTTTGTAAATTTACAAGAAAAAATTTTGCAATGGCATTTTAGCCACAGGTGAACAAAACTATGCTTTCATGTGAAATGTAAAATAAATGAAATATTTGCTGCAGCCAAAACCCAATTTTTTCGCCTCTGTTTTTGGGTATATCTAAAAGGAGATGGCCTGTCACAAGGGACAATTGCTTTAAAAAATGAATGAGGCTGAACTGTTTGTACCGCATCATGGATTTATAACACTTGCAATACAGTCCAAGTATATATTGAAATAAAATAAATACTTACTTTATGGCATGAGATCATGTTCTCCCCTCTAAAAATTAATTTGGCTGTTCCTAAAACATTGTATTTTCTATGTATCTTACCTTACTCTGCAGGACAGGCAATTGCCTGTGAAATCATTCAACCTAATGCAGGCCTTTTGATAAAAATACATTTTAGATGATACAGGCTGTTTTTTCAGTTCAATAATTGCCATTTATAGATTCCTTAGAAATCTCTCTAAAAGGCAGACACATAGAGGAAAGGAAGGTTCAGTGAATTAACATCTTTACCAACATTAGCAAGTCACTGATTACCAAAGTTGCACTTGACTTGTGCATGGAAGGGAGGGCTTCCTCCTTTATAGATAACAGGCTTTAAAGAACACGACCACCAGAGAGACCACAAATGTGTCAGTGGTTCTGTTAGTTACACAACTGACGTTAAGACAACCATTTTTTCTTGTGTCATTCCTTGAAGTGAGTGAGCTGATGTCTCTTCCAGTGAGGGGCCTGTCTGAATGTTTTGCCACAAACAGAGCATTCAAATGGCTTCTGCCCTGCGTGAATTAGATAGTGTCTTTCCAGTTTAGATGGAGATCTAAAACTTTTAGAACAAACACTGCATTGGTAAAGAAGACCATCATTCCTCTCCGTACGCCCTGAATAACTACAACAATGACTATGATAGCTTTGCTCTGATTCCAGAAGCGCATTAGAAGGATAGGGCTGCCTGTTCCTATAGTGGCTACCAAGAATGAAATCCTCTGATTCTGCCTTCACTTTTAATTCTGGTATTTGTTCTGACTCTGAGACCTCATATTTTTGAAAGCCAAGAGTCTGACATTGTTGGGAAGCATTATAGTTAACATTGTTATCACTCGGTTCAATGAAAAGTTTGTTCAAATTTTCAAATTCTACTTGGCGAAGAGATCTTCTATAAGGAATCTTTTCAATATGAGTTAATTTATGTCTTTTCAAGTGAGCTGACTGTCTAAAAGATTTCCCACAAACATTACAGCCAAAAGGCCTCTGTCCAGTATGAATTAAATAGTGTCTTTGTAGTTTGGATATAGAAGGAAATACTTTTTCACACTTGTCACAAGGACACATCTTATGTCCAGTATGTATGTTTTCACTTGGAACTGAAAAACCACACTGAAGCACTTCGCAGTTATCAAAGAATTCTTCACCTGATGAACCATAGATAGATACATCTTTATTATTCATTGAATTATCCATAGTTAACATGTTGTCTGTTGTAAGGATACCTTTCACACTTTTTCCCATATTTTGGCTCTGGAAGTGCTTTTGCCACGAAAATGGCAAAGTCAATGTTTTCTTCTTTTTATTGCCAACTGTCTTATATGTTCCATGTTTGCCAAGAGAACCCATAAATGTTTTCTGGGTTTGTTCAGGGCTCCGCTCACCAGAAATAAGATCACAGTTTTTTAAGTAAGTGTTTTTAAATACTTTTTTCTCAGATCGTAAATTATCTAATTTCTTACCCCCAGCACGTTTAAGCTTGGCCAAGATTTTTTTAACAATGGTTTTATAGTTGCAGCTTTTTTTGAAACTGCTTGGACTTTTGCCACTTCTGGCAGGAAAACACTTGTGTCCATTGAGAATCTGCTCTGATTCAAAACACTCTTCACAATCTGGACACTGAAAAGGAACAATATAAATAGAGTGGACATCAAGTTGATTCTTCTCCTCAGATTCACCTATATCACCATTTTCAAAACCATCCTGATTTGCATTAAATTTATTTGGCAGGGGACATGATTCTGAACTCTTCACTTTTAACGAAAGAGTCTGAAAAGTCTTATTCCTGGTATGGATTTGTTTATGCTTCAGAAGTTTGCTTTGAATCTTAAATCCTTTTTGACAAAAACAGCATTGAAAAGGTCTTTCTTCTGAATGTGTGAGTTGGTGGATTTTTAAATGAGTTGACTGTCGGAAAGATTTACTGCACAGGACACATTTAAAAGGCCTCTGGCCAGTGTGAATAAGTGCATGCCTATCAAGTTTTGATTGTGACGGAAACATCTTGCCACAAATTGTACATGTGTGAATATTCTTTCTTTTCTTTGTAGGGCTGTATGTAGGATCCGGCTTAGTGCATGAGTGTAAAGCCCATCTCTCCTCTGTGGTAAAAGTATGATACATCCCATACACTGGCTTTTCTTGCTTGGCCTCCAACAATCTTCTGACCTGTTTAACATCATTCTGGTAGGTTTCATTGTGAAGGTGTTGATGCTTCACAAACGTCTTCAGATTTTTAAAATGGCGTTGACAAATACTACACTTAAATGGCAGATTATGAGTTAGTTGATGTCTCTCCAGATGAACTAGTTGCCTAAAGGTTTTATGACACACATCACATTCAAATGGCTTCTGACCTGTATGAATGAGATAATGCCTAGCTAATTTTGATGGTGTTTCAAAGTGCTTGAAGCAAATATTGCAAATGTATGGCCTGTTTCTAGGTAGTTTGTTGGCTACTACACACTGCTGAATCTTTAGCATTTTTAAATTGTTTTCAGCCATCATAGTCTTCAATGACATACTCTGATGCGCTCCATAGTCTTCTTAAACTCCACGGATGTCTAAAAATTAAAAATAAAAATGTATTAATTTAAAAATTATTTATTCATATGAAAAGAAATAAGTTAAACTGTCCTTTGACCAAAGATATCAAGGAGAAGGGGAGAGGACTTGGACTTTTCCCATGTTTAAAAGATAATTAATAATCATTTTAGATGAATACTTTAGAATCATAAAACTAATTTCACACATACATGTGAATGAGAAATGATAAGCCTTTAAAAGAAATAGCCAAAAATCTATATAATTTTAAGCTATATTCTTACTGAGATGATACATTAAAATGGGGTTGAGCTGAATTTCTTAAGATTAAATAGACTTTTTAATTCCAATGTTCTTAGTTCACTATTAAGTGGATTTGTCAATATTTTGTTGCTTTGACATTTTTAAATATTTAGGCTAGAAAGATAAACAGTGTAAGAATTAAAATATAATACTAAAATAATGTATTTGCATTCAATTATAGCATACTATGTACACGGTTTAAGAATGGAATGTTTCACCTATAAAAGTTAGATTTCTTAGCCACATCATTAACTCTATTTACTCTCAATGACTTCTTTGGACCAAAAAAGATAACATGGACAACTGGAAGAAAATGTCCAAGAAAACATGGGTTCTAGTACTAGACTTGCCATCATATGATCTTGGTAGCAGGGAGTCAGAGATTAAAAACAAAACAAAACAACACACTGTTCTAGCTCTCTCATTCTAATGTATCTTCTAGTTAAAATCAGAGAGTTGATAAATCTACTAGACACCCAGGGGTTTTTATTTGTCAGCTGATTTGGCCACTGTATAACATATATGCTATTTGCTATTTACTGTCCTCTCCTAGAAGACACCTTAAACACAAAATCACAAACATACCCACTGTGTGGTTCTCTTCAGCAATCTGAATCAGGAAGAGAAAAACAATCATAATTCATTTATTGAGCAAATATCTTCTACTAGTTGCTTTACCACAGTGTTTTTCAAACTCCATGTCATGATCCATTAACAGATTCTGAAAGTAACTAAGTGGATCATGCTCAGCATTTCTGCTTAATAGCGTGGAAAACATCAGACTGCATAACATATAGTAAGGATAAATACTGTTTTGTGAAACTTCTGAAGGGAGGTAAAAAGGTTTGTGAAGGCTGTTCCTGGCATACTTCTTCACACAGCACTAGACAGAGGGACCCACAGCAAATCAATCCCTTTTTCAAAGTGGCTAAGTAATCCATTAAGTAAGATCAAGGTCCATGGCATGAGACAGAATTACTAAGGAAAACAGCGTCTGGTTTTGTTCAATTGGCCCATACAATCCCAAAATATTAAACAAAACATCTAATTAGAGGCCAAATGAAATATGCGACACAAATCTATGCAAAATAAAATAATCTGACTGCAAGCCACTATGTTAATTTACAAAATACACCATATAACCCAGATGTCCATGTTAGTAACATTCAGACGTTGGTGCTATTCATATGCATTTTCCTGACACTGGGTTAGAGAAATTACATGTGAACAACTTCCAAATCCCTACACATGGTAACACAGCAACAGTTATAAGGATTAAAATTAAGTCATGAATCCAGTGAACTGCCAAGAATTTGGCAATTTATTTAATTTCTGTGGAGCAATCAGGTGTCGAGGTGGTCAATTAAGACAATGAGCCAAACTGAGAAAAGTAATCAAGCTTTTGTTCACTTACTGCAACAGTGCAGGGAAGAGGCTAAAAGAAGTACTACTGGCTCCGCAATGATCCATTAAACGGACCGACACTAGGTGAGGATCAGGCAGATGCAGTGCACACAATCATCTTACTGCAGAGGAGGCCCAAACAAAAGGCATCTACCTCTTTATGGACTGTGGGCCAGGGCAGGGAGGAAGAAAAGGCTCAGAGTGGAAAGGTCCTGAGTCAAAATGGAGAAAAGTGCATCATGCAAGGCTGTCCCCTTCCAATAAAGTTTTGGAGCTACCAGAGAAGTGCCTCAGCCAAGGTCCTCAGAATGGAGGTACCTGAGCCAGGAATGCAGTATAGCATGAGTATATAGTATATAGTATGAGTATGAGCAAGAGGAAAGGGATGTGTCCCTAACTGCAATTCCCTCCAGAAAACTCAGTGCAGTTGGCCATGCACAAGTCTAGCATGGGGAAGGCAGCTGACCTTCTCCGCACTCAGGCTAGCAAGGCAAAGCCTTGCAATTATCTGTCATGGGGCCTGAAACGGCACACAAAGGAATCTGGCATAGAGCCGGACTCCTCAATTCCTATTATATGTCTCCTTCCCTTTAATAGTTTCTATGAAACACTCTTGGGAAAAACTCCCACACTACAACCACACACAGACAGCCATCTCTGATTATAACAAGAATCAACTGCCTAGAGGTCCTGCACGGAAAAGATCATCAACCACCAGGACTCAGGCTGGACACTACTGTCACTGGCCTCCAAACCACCTGGGCTAACACTGGGGGCCCTATATGGTTAGCACCTTTGGTGGCAAACAGTGATCTCACCTCCTATTTATTATAACTGACAGCCCAGGGATCCCCAACACTCCAGGGGCAGTCCCCCATGTACATTCATTTGGTAGAGCTCCAAATCCCACTTCAACGGATTCTCTGAGCTCTCAATTTTTTTTCTGTCAATAATATTTAAAAAAACAAACACCAAGCTGTGTAATCTTTCCTATGTTAAACTGAAAATAAAAAATAGTTAAATCTCAATGGTTCAATCTGAAAACTATCCTAACAGCAAGGTACACTCCGTTAGAAGACTGCAAAAACTGATCTCAAAAAACTCCAAAGCTGCTTCACAGCTGGAAGCCTGTTGGTTTTCTAGCCTTAACTAACACCATTAAAACAAAGTGAGGAGTAAATGAAAAAGAAATGAGAGACCTGAGAGAAACTCTCAGTTGGGGAATAACCGCTGGCGACACTGACCACAGCCTGGCCCTCTTTCTCGTTTCTTCCACCTCCACACCCCCAGCCCACTCTCTTGGCCTTGAATCCTCACCTCTCCCTCCCAGGGGGACTGCACCGTACATAAGACCTTGACATCTGGCCCTTGCCCTAATCGCCCGCGGCCAATAAGCACCTAAAGGTCGAGCTGAGCTCAGAGGCTGCAAAATTCCACACCAGGAAAGGAAGGACAAGCAAGGGTGAAAACTGCTTTGGGCCCAGGCAGGGAAAAAAATGCCTTATGTGGCACGGCCCGTCACAGCAAAGGAAAAGCATCCTCTTCTGCGCCTTCCTCTCAGAGATTCCCGTTCCCCGTAAGACGCAGTCAAGACGGCGGGGAAGTGGGAAAGGAAAAGGAGCTGAGGTCGTGGCGTCCCCGTTCTACGTCCCCAAGCACCTTGGAGGGACCGAGGCAGGCCCGACCCTTCCCGGGGCCCGCTCCACCTCACACTGGGTTCCTGAAGTCCTGCTCACGCACCTGGAGCTGCCACGCACCCGGCAGCCGTGCATCTCACCGCCCAGGCGCGGGGAAGCCAGCAACCTCGCGCCGCAGGGCCGGCGCGGCGACGGGCTGAGAGCGCAGGCGCGGGGCTCGGGAGCGCCCAGGGACGCAGTCCGGCTGGAAACAGGCTCCCCCCACCCTAGGGCCGCTGTCACCTTGGCGCGGCCTGCGAGTTCCCTGGGGGAAAGGGCGCTCCAGAGAGAGATGCGTCTTCAACCCCAGCGCCACTCAACCCGCACCTCAATTTCGGGATGAAGACAACAGAGGTGTGGAGAAGGGTGCATTTTCCATCTCACCCCTCAACCTCGACCAGGGAAACCCTGTAGCCCTGACCACTGGGGCTCAAGGCCCGTCTGGAAACTGGCGAGCCCCGCGTTCAAAGCCTACTTGGCTCGTCGTCTCTAACGCAAAGGGCCGGTGATAAACAAAAAGCCACGTGTTAGAGGCTTTCTGTGCCAGCACTGAGCTCAGCACTCTGTGTAATTGTCAGAACACGGCGTAGGGGTCGACGGCATGGGCTTTGTGGTCAGACAAAACTGGGCTCCACTCCTGGCTCTACCATTCGCCTGCCAGCTGCGGACCTCGTTGGCTTCTCTGAGCCTCGTTCACTGGATATATCGATTTTAGCTGTATACCATGTACAAATCTCTGTGCTTAGTGTCTTCGTTTCTCCAGCTTGCTCTCACAATTAGATGAAAAGAATGCAAAGTGCTCAACATAATGCCTAGTGCGCAGCAAGCTCAAATAGCTATTATAATTTATTAATTACTGTTTTTATATTAAATACAACAGCTTTTATGAAGTGATAGGATCCCATTTTGAAACGAGGAAAATGAGACTGAGACATCAAGGAACTTAACATCCGCACAGCAGATAAACAATGGAGATGGGATTTGAACACAGGAAGTCTGGTACCAGACCTGCACTTTTAATTCACTACTGCTTCCCAACATGTAGATATCTCAACATTTTATGTAGGCAAAATTAAGGGTAAATGTGTAGTACAGTTACAGGGTAAGGTGGTACATTATTACTGAATAGGATACGTATCTACTGAAGATTTTAAGCACAAAAGACATTAAAGAAAAGTTGTGGATTTTTGTAGTTCTGACTGTAGCTGTCTCAGTCTGAGAGATGAGGAAATGATCTTTTTCTAACTGTAAGTAACTTTTTGCATTACTTCTCAGGCACCATTGACAACGAAAACCGTTTTTTCTGATGGTTGGTACACGCTCCTGTATTTAAAAGGGGAGATGTTGGGCCAATGAAAAGTAAGTCTCTATTTTTAATGTGGTAACATGAGGAAATGGCTAATAGAAAATAAACTTTTGCTTCTCACGTAGCAACCTTGGAGGAGTCACGTTTAGGAAAGGTTGAAGCCCCAACTTCCGAAAGAAGCAGAGATGGAGAGAGGACAGGAAGCTTTAGGTGTCTTGAGTGCTAATTCCAGGGCGAGGACTCCGTTTGTTCAGATAAGCCTTGGAGACTTGCTCTATTTTGCAGCTTCTCCTGGGAGCTCAGCTCAGCCAAACCATGCAAACAACTGCATGCATCACCAGACACCTAAATCCTTAGGAGAGATATGCAGAGCATGAGAGAATGTTACCTGAGGTTGGGGACCAATGGAGGGTGCATTACCTTCAAAATAAATAGGCCGTTACACCAAGAACCTGAATATGGAGAGTGAAACACAAATGGGATGTGGATAAGCTATTCTCCAAGGCCACATACCGTACCTCCTAACCTTTCCCATTCACTTTGAGAACTATCTCAGGAGGCTTCTGGGGGGAAAAAGGGAGAAATTACCATGAATAAGAGTCATCAGGAAGATTTCATTAGGTGATATTTGGACAGGGATTTAGTAATGGTTACAAAATGGATAAATAGAATATGTGGAGACAGGCTAGAACATCATAGGGAGAAACGGTAATAGTGGCAAGGAAAAGTAAAGAAATATCATGGCATACATTTGGGTTAATATCTTATCTCTGCAACTTACTGGTGTGTGTCCTTAAAAGTTATTTAACCCTTCTGAACCTCAGTTTCCTCATCTTTAAAATGGGGAATACAATCAATCATCCATTTATTCAATGAAAAATCATGTACCAAGCACAAGGGATTCACTTCTAAGTATATAAAGATGAAACAGTGAAGCCCTTGACTTCAATATAGTTTTCAGCTCAGAACAACATACAAAGAACTGCAGTGTGATAAGAGAAGATATGTATGGGGCAGGAGGGGGGAGGAGGCATATTTAAATGTGCCTGGGAGCTTCAGGTAGAGATGGTCCTTGAGCTGAGGCTTTAATGATCTATCCACCCATCCAGCCATCCTACGTATATTTTATTAAGCACTTGCTATGTGCCAATTCCTGTGCTAGGCACTGGAGATAGAGTAGTGGACAAATTAAAAAACCCCTGTCTTCATAGATTTTATATTTATAGTTGATATTTTATGTATTCGTATGCCTACTGAGGGAGACAGACAATAAATTAAATAAGTAAAATATATAATATACAGTATGTTAAATACTGATAAGGACCGAGGAGACAAAAATAAGCACAGAAAGAGACTGTGAAAATTTTGGGGAAAGGACTTGTTGGCGTCTTAGTAAATAGCCAGGGATGACGTTACTGAGAAGTTCTGTGGGTTTTGAGTCGAGACCTTACAGAAGTGAGAGAGCCAGTCCTGCTCATCCTGTTCCACATTTAGAGCACACACTGCTCACCAGGAGCTTTGCAAGAAGCTGGGAAAGGCCTTAAATGCCTTGGAAAGCTTCTCCTCCTCCTCTCCCACCTCCTTTTCCTTCTTTCTTTTAACCCAATAGGCAATGGGACATTTTTGAAGGATTTTGATCACAGGTATGGCATGCTTAGATTTGTGTCTTAGAAAACTCGGTCAGAAGTAGTATGGATAATGAAACGGAAGAGGCAAACTTAGAAGAGCCATGCTGTCAGCTGGGGGCTTCCTACTCTTCGAATATCGTGGATGAAAATCCAATTTTGTGGCCTGGGGCAGTCTTTACGATACCTGTGTTTTTTTGCAGTTTGCTCCTCGTGTGTGTCTCTCCTCTGTAGTCATTAATCTCTAGGGCTATCTATCTCCTTTTTGGCAATCACACATTGAATATAGAACCTAGCTTCTTCATCAGTTTCTAGAAAAACATGCACTCACATTAAGTTGTGTGTGTTTAAATATTTTTTGAGGGGTTATTTTTCTTATTTTTTAAAAAATATTTTTTTACTTTTCAATTACAGTTGACATATAATATTATATTAGTTTCTGGTCTACAGTATAGTGATTAGACATTTATATAACTTACGAAGTGCTCACCCCGGTAAATTTAGTACCCATCTGACACCATACATAGTTATTACAATATTATTAATTATATTCCCTATGCTATAGTTTACATCCCCATAACTATTTTGTAACTACCAATTGGTTCTTCTTAATCCCTTCCTGTGTGTGTGTGTGTGTGTGTTTTAAAAAATACTTCACTGAAGATTTAGGAGTCTCTAGGGAATAAGACTTCAACTAGAGGATGTGGGGCCTTGTAGCAACTGAGCCAGTACCAAGTGAATCCAAAATAATTGCACTTAAAAGGAGTCTACACTTTAGCATCCTTCGTGTGCCTTTTGGAATATTTTGAAGGTAGACATTTTGAAACTGAGTTTTAATGCTTGTTAAAGCCTCGTCCTGCCTCCAAGTGATTGGCTTAGCAGACAGCTCACATTTCCTATTTTCATCCCATCTCTTATCTTTCCTCTCTCCTCTTCCCCTTCTTTCTGTGGAGCAACCAATAAAACCATCGACTTGCCTCCTGCACATAACCCACCAAAATCTCAGGTGTCAGTTCCTACTCCCAAGCAATTATCAAACAAGTTTTCCAACAAAGACAACCCTCTCTCTTAAAGAGGATTTTTGGTGAGTAACGTCCTCTGCTTCCCATGATATATTCCCCTGGTAAAAATATTTACAGCCTCTTATATATTTTGTTACACAACTTCTGAGTGGACGGTGACAGGTGGGGAGTGGTGAGTTGGAATCACAGGTGAAACAGTACAGCTGTATTTTAGTTAAGGCAGTCAGACCATCTCCAACTCACAGGCTAATCCCAGTCTACTAAAGCATTGCTGGAAATTTTCTCTAAAGCTCCACTGAAGATAATGCCTGTTAGATTTCTGGGTCTTATGAGGTAGCAGCATTCTACCCCACCCCACTGACTCCCTGTGTGTTGGTTCATTGGGTAGCACTGGGGTTCCAGAGTTACCCAGATAGCAGGCAGGATTCCCAACATAGGGCTTTGACCACACGTTCACCCTTAGAGTCAGGGCTGACTCCTGGACTCTTCTGAATGGTCCTCTGACTACTGTAATATCAGGGTCTAGGCCATCCAAGGAGGGAGAGTGGAGCCACGGTATCCACCAAGCTCTTGGGCTTATGGGGCCAGGAGAGTTGGACACTGTGACCCCTCTCCCATTTCTAGATCTTAATTTCTGGCGGACGGTGTTGAGTTCTCACAGGCTCATTCTACCAAAAATCTGCCCATCCTCAGAATAACAGAACAGACAGAGGCATTTCTGTCTTCAGCCCCCACCCCTGAGTAGCGCTATGGGTTTTAAATCTGTGTCTGGTGACTGCCAGATTCCAGAGGCAAGTATGTGAGATATTAATGATCTCTTGTGTAGGGCCTGGCTTCCCAACTAGATAAAACTTCAGTAGTCATGCTCCCTGTTTAAGGCCCAGGGCTACTGCTGGTGTGCTGTCTGACCCAAAGTAAGGAAGCCACTTACCCCAAGTCAGGGGGCTTGGTAGTTAGAAATCTGAATTCAGGTGGCTAAGCTCTGCCCACTCCGCATGGCTGCACGGGTGCCTTCACATCTAACCCTGAATAGTCAGCCTTCTCTCTTTCTCTCCTTGAATAACTACTTTAAGAGCAAGGAGTGGAGAGGATAACTCAAAATTTCACAGGAAGTTTTCAGGTTCTCCTGTAATGCTTTGCTTTAAATTCTTCAAAGCTACAGCAACTTGCTCCAACAAGCCTAGTTTTTCCTAACTGCTTTCCAACAGCAATGTGGAATGCTTTGTTGTACAAGCCTCTTAAGTTTTAACACAGATGCAAAGGTCACTTCTCCTTCCAGCTGTTACATTGTCAAAAATCTGATTTACAAATCCAGGTGATTTACCACA